CTTAAACTCAACAGAAAATATTATTTTTTTTCATTTGAACAGATAGAGAAACATTCCATGGAACAATTTTCATTCCTAAGGTCTTAAAACATTTTAAAAAGTAATAAAGTCTTTCTAACCCTTTGCTGAATTTATGACCCTCCATTGTTCTACATTCTCATATTTTACCTTAACATCATGAGAGGATAAAATATGGAAATGAGTATTTTTTTTAAGGATCAGTTCCAGGACCAACTGGAGTTCAGTTTCAATGTGGAATCACTTATGTTCCTATTGTTTTTTAACAGCAGCCAGTTCCATAAAAATCCCCAGATCCTTAGTAGCCACTTGCTATTTATGGATAACAAGTTTATATGTTTGCAGCTATGCTGTATCCTAGGGCAAAAGGATTTCTGGTGGACCTAGAGACAGAAGGTCAAGTGGAAATATAATGAAAAGAAGGTCTTTAAATACCATGTCTGCAATATTATATTTGTAGAGTTAGACTCAGAATCTCTTCTTAGGTCTTACATTTTCCATTCCTGGGAGACAAGGCTGACTCACTGTGACAGACAGACACTTTAGAGCCCTGCTATCTTTCACACATCTCCTATTGGCTTCCCCAAAGAAGACTTCCTATTAACATGTCTGGCAGGGTTCTGACTTAAGCGCTCAGTTAGACTGTAAAAGACTCATACCGGGTGACAAGTATTGCAATGGCTGGTTCCGTATGTTCTCTGAGGAAACCTAGGTTGCCTATGGAGTAAAGTGGCTCTAGGGAATGCTATTTTTTTTTCTGTCAACCAAGCAGGATAATCTTAAAGAATTCATGATTTTTATCGCAATGTATCCTAAATTTCCAAAGACAGTCATACTTTTATATATCATCCTTTCCAGTATGCTTTACCTGGTGTCATGTAAAGATGAAGCAGGCAATATGGCATCTTATTTCTGCTACACACCAGCTGTGTGGGCATGGAAATATAATTAGAAATATAGAAGTCTTAATTTCTCCAGTAAGGTGAAGAAAAGTGTTAGTGGAGAGATACTAGAAGCAAAAAAGAGGTAGTTTTCAGTAGCTAATAGCTCTGTGTTTACCTTTTGATAAACAGGGGCTTGAATCCTGACTCTGCTGTGTGATCTTGGACAATTAACATTTTTCAGTTGCAATTTTCCACATTTAAAAACAGGGGTACAATCTATCTGGAAGTTTTTGTGAAATTTGAAAGTGGCAATGCATGTAAATTAACAAATTTCCAGGTAGATCATAAATCTCAAAATAGCATTTGCTGTTTTTTTATCAAATTACTACCACCACCACCCTACTATTCTTACTATTAATACTATGATTTTTCCCAGGAAAATCTTTTCTAGGTATGAACTTTATTAAGCAGTTCCCTGGTACTATGGGCTTTGGCATCAAAACTGAGTAACTTAAACTATTGTGAGCAGCAGAGTAAAGGGAAGAAGACATTTTAAGAGAGATTAAGATGTGAGTCGGCACAATGTGAAATGCTAGGGAGAGAAGAAACTCAGAAGCATTAAGATTCTCAACTGAGCACTAAATCAAGATAAAGGATCAGAATTCCTTGGACATGAAGATTAAACTCTAGTGCTACTTAGATGTTCTGTTTTGTTTTGCTCTGTTTTGTTTTTGGGAAAAGGACTCTGACTTTTTTGACTTACAAAGGCTAACTGCATTGCAGTCAATGTTAACACTGACCAATGTTAAGAACACAAGGAAATTGAACAAAACTGCATGAATGGATCGACGCCAGGGCAAGGGGAGAGGTCATGGTCATGGAGATTCTAGTTTGAAGGAATGAAAGGAAATAACGAGAAAATGGGCTTAGAAGTCTAGGAGGAAGGCATATCAGGGAAGCCAAGAAGTTAGACTATTAGACCAGTGTAGAATAGAGAGCGGAATCAGTAGCAGTCAGGGTGTATTTTAAACTCTCAGGTTGCTTTATTATCTACTCCTCTTCCTTTGACCTCTCCTTTCAGAACCATAACCTGAAAATGTTGTGCTAACATAAAGAGGTGGAATTGATGGACTGTAAAGAGAACTGTGGGTTGGCTATGCCATCATAATTTTCCCTGGCTGTCACTTTTTCCCCTAAATTAAGTGATTTTGACCTTGGACAAATTGCTTAGCCCCTCTGAATATAAGTGTCTCAACCCATAAAACTGGGGATATTATACCATCCGCATACAGCTCTTTTGAAATTTAATTGAAATGACATATGCAATACCCTTCACTTAATATCTTTATACACACAATAAACACAACAATATTTATCCTTAAGAACTATATGCTTGATATACAAAAATTGCACAGTTATATGTGCATACAGAGTGCAAACTAATCTATTAAGTCTCCATTCATGGGAGATTTTAAAGAGTCTTGAATGACACTACAAACTGTAGTAACTTTCAAATTGATAACTAGTCAATCAGATATCACATTACTGAATAGGAACTATGAGTGGGCACAAGTTAGGAGTTGTGCCTACAAAGATAAACCAGACTAAGTTCTCGCACTCAAGTGCTGAAAATGCAGTAAAGACACGTGATTGCAACTACATTTGCACACACAGGCACATGTAGGCACACACACAAAACATGCCATAAGTATCTTTTACTGTAGTGATTTCTGGCATATACAGCGCAGAGGTATTATCTAAATAGTTTTCAGAGACTATAGGGGCGTGAGTGTGTGTGTGTGTGTGTGTGTGTGTGTGTGTGTGTGTGTGTGTGTTGCTATCATTAAAACTTAGAACTTTATATACAGGAAAAGGGAGCCAATTACTGGAGGAAACTTGCAAATTTGCTTCACTGCTTGAATTTTATAAGTATTTTATATCCCCAGTCAGTTTTAGTTTCCAAGTGTCATAAAGTTGCATTTATCAAAAGTTAAATGTCCTTTCTTGTCATATTAAAGGAAGAAAAATTTTGACAGAAGCACATTATTTAACTATAATGAACATTTTAAAATATTAGCAAATGACTGAAAATAATTTTATGATATAGCAACTACTATATGCAGTAAGTGGATGTATCTACCAATAGAATTTCAAGTTTTCAATAGATGTGTTTGTAAATTGTATATAGTTGATTAGCCACTGTATATTTAAATGCAGCCCTAGGGCTCTTGTTAAATCTCGCTTTTGTAGCATTAATTATGATTCAATGGGACTTACAACAAAATTAAATTCTAAATGAATCAAAAGAGAATTATTCCCTAGAACATTACTGTTAAGCCTACAAGTGATCCAAAGACGTGGTCTTCTTGTTGTTATATCTCATAGATTAACCTCTTTTATTTTTCAAAACTTAATTTATCAAGGGCTGATGTTCTTTTTTTTTTTTTTGAAGATTTATTTTATTTATACAAGAGCTGGGGTACAGTCCAGATGCACAGGAGGATGAGAGGATTCACCAGAGACAGAGAAGGGAACAGAATAGGCAGACTGAAGAAATACACTGCTGAGAGGAGCAGCAGGCGAGACAGGAGAGGTCTACTCGCCATGTGGGCTCCTCTGAGGCCGGCGGGGATCGAACCGGCACTGCAGAGGCTGCGGACAACTTCACAGCACTGCGCTCAACCACCTGCACCACCAGGGAGGCCCAAAGGCTGATGTTCTTAGTAAATAAGTATCTGCAGGATTTCTTAGAAAACTCTGTCTTACACTTTATGTGTTACAAAGTTTACACAATACCAAACATCAACAGGATCAAATAGAAATACAACATCAACATTGAATAGAACTATGGTTTTTAATTGTGTGAAATCATAATGTTTTTAATTGTGTGAAATCATAATGTTATATGATTTAATTGTGAACTAGCGAGGGCCCTCAACTTGGGCTCTTCTCTTGGGTAGCAATATTTTACTGGGAAAGTCAATATTAATTTCTGAGATGCTATTTCTGCTTTTATGAAAGGGAGATAATTACACCAGTTTTACTTACTCTATGGGGTGATTTTGTCAATCAGCATACATCAGTCTCCATAGCTACCTCCAAAGCTGGACTCCGCTGTTACTCATTGACTCATAGCCTTGACCTGGACCTGCTTAGAGTTGAGTTGTTTTGTTTCCTCATGGGCCTCACCTGGGGTGGAGTATCAATTACCTGTGTACTTGTAAACACGCCTAGGTCTTAATGTGGACAACTATTCCAAAGTCCACTAAATGGCTGCATCCGGGTGTGAGATCTTGTGTGTAAACATACACATAGAATTTCCCAAACCTTCAGATGTCCTCCTGAGCATATGCTAATGACACTAGCTCTGGGCCAGATGTGGAGGTTTGAGTGTTGCATATTAAAAATAAAACAAACAACTTAGAAATAACAAAGAAAAGATAGCAGCTGAATGATGGCTTTAAAATATTGGTGTGTGGGCCTCCCTGGTGGCGCAGGCGGTTGAGCACTGCACTGGGAAGTTGTCCGCAGCCTCTGCAGCATGGGTTAGATCCCGGCTGGCCGGCGAGGGTCCCACGTGGCGAAGCAGACTTCTCCTGTCTCGCCTGCTGCTCCCCTCAGCAGTATATTTCAGTCAATCTTCCTATTCTGTTCCCCGCTCTGTCTCCAGTGAATCCTCTCACCCTCCCACACATCTGGCCTGTACCCCGTTCTTGTATAAAAATAATGAAAAGAAAAAAAAAATTGGTGTGGTCTAGAGTCAGCATGGAAGCTTATAAATATGCAAATTATTGGGCCTATTTATCAGATAGTCTGATTTAGTAGGAGTTACTTCAGGAATCTGACATTTCATTTTTTAAAAAGATTTAATTATTTATGCATACAAGAGCTCGGGTGTAGGCCAGAGGTATGGGGGTGAGAATATTCACCAGAGACAGAGAGGGGAGCAAAACAGGCAGATAGGCTGATAAACACTGCTGAGGGGAGTAGTAGAGGAGTCAGGAGAGGTCTACCGAGCCATGTGGGTCAGCTCCTTGGCCTGGGATCCAACCCGTGCTGCAGTGGCTGCAGATGACTTCATAATGCTGCGACTTATCCCCTTGCACCACAAGGGAGGCCCAGAATTTGCCTTTTCTACAGGCATTTGAGCTGATTCTGACATGTGGGAGAGACTAGCAATGCTGTCTGGACAGGCAATTACATGAGGCAATAATTTTTAAAAAGGAGAAGAATGCCGTGCATTCTACCAACGTAGTGGACAATTGGCAGAGTAGTGAAGATAGGGAGGTGGCCTTATCTAAATCCTTCACATCACATGGAGTTACTGTGAGTGATACAAAAACATTTGTCTTCATGAAGATTTTCATCAGATTAAAAATTAGCAAATTAAAAATTAGCCATTCAATCTGAATTTCTAGTCCCTTTTATTTTATATTTTCAATTGGTGTTAACCCCTTGTATGAACTTTTCTTTTTAGACATGGAGGGTGAGGGTGACATACTCCCCACAAACTGATTAAATTCACCTTGTCAACCTCCAATTTCAGAATTTTCTCTCCAAGATTGACTTCAGATATCCTGCTCTTCCGTGTGACATCTGCTGCAGGATCCCCTGCTCAGGCTTCCCTGCGACATCTGCTGCAGGATTCCCTGCACAGGATTCCCTGCAGGCTCAGGTATTTGTAAGGATCGATTGGCTACTGCCCTTAATATACATGGCCCTCTGCTCTTTTTGGTGAACAAACTATCATAATCCCAAAATAAACTCTACCTCCATTTACCATAATCTACTCTAGACTTCACTATTCCTGGAATCTTCTCATATGAAGAGGAGTTTCTTAATTGCAATTATTCCCTAATTGGTAACCAGTTCAGTAGAACTTTCTTTGAGTAACCTTCACCTGCTTTCACTTCCCCAGGCAGGTGAGAAGAAAAAAGACCATGAATTGAAGACACAGTGAATCCAGAACTATATACTGAACTCCAACATGCTAGAAATAAAGGACTACTCTTAATCCTCAGAAGTGATACATACAGAGTAAGAGGGAACTAAAATTTATGTGGAATATACAGTTAGAAAAAAAAATCATGTTTGAATTATAGTGTAAAACCTACCAGTTTTGTGTTGATAAACTCACTCCTGAACTCACAGCCTTTCAGTTTCCAAATAAGAAAAAACAGAGATACTTGAAGTAGTATTGCTGGCATATAAAATATATTCAGGAAATGTGTACTTTTCTCGCCATTTCTTCCTACTTTATTTAAAAGGTAGTCGTTTATGTAACTTAACATATCAAAAATTGCAATGGTTAAAATTAGGAATAAATTTGCACAAAGACAGCTTTCAATACATAGTCAATCTTTATTTTTACTTATGTTTTCTAATTTTAAAAATATTCTATATGAGCAGGGAGTCAAATTCAATTTATTTTCCCTCCATTTCTCTAAGTCTTTCCGGCCATCTAATCTTCACATCAAGTTTGCCTTTCTCTCTAGACAGGCTAACAATGCCACTGTCTCATGCCTCCCCAGTGCTCTCTCCTAATCCTTACAAGGGCATGCAGGGATCAATAGGTGACAGCCCCCTATTAAAGCCCAGGTGAGTAATGAGGTTCACTGTTACAGATCAGAAGCTGTGCTGTCAGGAGGAACAGACTGGTGCTGGCACCACAGAAGTGCTCTCAATCAGCCGTAGAAATGATTTGCGCCATTTTCTCATGTTAAGGACTACTAACTTTTATTTCAAATTCTAGCAGTAATAAAATGAATTTTAAAGTTAAAAGTAACCCTGAAAGGAGTGTACTTTATTTTAAATTTTTCTTACATTTGTACCTTAAATCAAATGTAAATCATTTGATTAATCGCCTCTTAGACTTAGAAGCCTGCAAAACCCCATGGAATTAAAACAGTGCTAAAATCAGTTCCAAAGACCATGCCAAAGGTGGGGGACAGGTCACCATCTGTGGGTTCTCACACATGTGCTGACAGTTGCAAGAACACTCAGTCTCAGGGCGAAGCTACAATGGGGTTTATTTGATAAACAGGAGATTAGGGGAGCAAAAAAAGTTCCAGGATCACAAGTGGCCACTGGCTCACCCCAGATAGTGTCTGCAGTGTCCAGTAGTCCCATGTAAACACCACTCAGGCAAGAAGGTGCTGTCCTGTCAATGAGGGCCTGGAGCTGGTCACTCACTAGCAAGGAGTAGGCCAGATCCAACTCATGGCTAGAAGATAGGTGGGGCCTCTGAGGTGACACTGCAGCAGCCCACATGGATGCAGGACCAGACAACAACAAGGCAACAGCAGTAGGAGGCAGTGTTGGACAATCAGGAGTGGTGGACAGCTCTCAACATGGCTGGACACAGAGTGCTAGTCACCTGTTGGCAGTGCTGGTCTACACTGGTCAATAATGCTATTCAGCACCAGTCGCCAGGAAGCAGTGTCAGACACCAGTACTACAGCTCTTTGTGAGCTATTGGTATGAGCCAGTAGCCACAGCTCTTTGAAAACCAGGTCAAGGCCAACAGTGCTTTTTGTGTGCAATGTCAGAGGCAAGGCTGGAAACAAGTGAAGAAGCCAGGTCTTTTGCGGTCTATGGAGGCCTCAGAGTCCCTTGGAGGTCTTCTACTGGATGCTTCTTCTTTGGAGTGTCTTCTGAGACCTTTCTTTGGAGGCTGGCTGCTCAGGGAATCAAGCTGGCTCCTGCTCTCTTCATATCAGCATCTCCCGCCCCCCATCCCACAAGGCTGATTGGACAATACAATTTTTCCACCCTAAGTGTTTGATTGGTGCCACTAAATGCCAATCAGTTTGCTTGACTTTTGATCCACATAACAATGTCAAGCCTTTGACTGACTGTTTAAGAGCTTGAACATGATTTGTCCATTTATAATATTGGCACTAGATACAAAAGGGGAAACCCTACTGCCTGCATGGACCTGACCTGCATGGATGTTGGAGCAGACTCTGGGCCAGTGGGCTCCAGGGAGTCACAGCTGGAGGCACCCTGCACCTGGTGCCCTGAGGTGGGGCTGTGTGTAAGAATGGAAGGTGGGGGTACCCTGCAGCAGCCTTAGGATATGGGTCCCAGCTGCTGCAGATTGGGCTCTACTGGAAGCCCACCATGTTGGCCGTGCACTCAGAAGGCCTCCAATGCCTATGGCTCCAGGGGGAAACCATCACTCCTCCCCAGGGTCCCAAGCCAGAAGCCACAGTACTTAGAGTCCCCTTTGCTGCCAGAACCCCAGGGATGCATGCCCTGGGGCAGCAAGGCAGGGGGACAAGACACCCCTGTCCTTTGCTGCTGCCAACTGCCGCTGACCTGAGCAGGTCTGCAGGAAGCATTTCCGGCGGCTGCTCTGGGGGCAGCAGGCAGGGAAATGCCTGCCAGTGCTTTTGCTGCTGCCACAACTTTCAAAGCTGTGTGGGTGCTGCCCACAGGCGTGTGTTTGGGTGGCAGATGGGGAAACGTCCCACCACTGCTACTCCTGCTGCAGCTGCCTTTGGTGGCCTGGGTGCTGCTGGAATACATGGGTTCCCTCACATTGGGGAAGTGGGTGGTAAAATGCTGCTGCTGCCTCTGCTGCTTTCACCCGGACCCTGGCTGCACATGCTTGATTCTGGGGAGGGGACCACCCCAGAGGCAACAGGTTAAGGCAGCCAGTGTCAGCCCCAACAAAGCAAGCATGACCATAGACTTGAGCTGCAGGGATCCAGTTTCAGAAAGACTTCACTGCTCAAGTCATTCTCCTACTGTTAGAAATACTCAAGGTGGGTGCCAGCGAGGAAACAAGGGAATGCCTCTCCAATCCAGCAGTCTGCAGGGAGTTGCCTGAGAAAGGAGGGAGATGGAGTATAATCAAATTACATAGCAATGGGTTTGTTGTTAGTTTAGAGGTGGGTGTCAGAAAAGGATTCACTCAGTACAACATTGGAGAAAAACTCTTACAGAGTGATTGGGGGGGGTTCCATCTTCAGAGGGGGTATGTAGCCAAAGAAGCAGTATATGGAGGGAGGAAGCAGAACTAAATAGAAGACTTGGACAAGTGGAATAAGTCAGCTCTCTATCACTAGAGCAGAGAATGAAACTATGGGGAAAGGTATAGGGAGGTGAGAGGAGATGATGATGTCAAGGATCCTTAGTGAAGAACAGTTTATAGTCCACTATGGATTTTTTGCATTTCCAGTTAAAAAAAAAATAAAATGAAGTGTGGGAGTAATTGCCACGTGCTTGGTAACATAAAGGATCATGTTAACAATGTCGGGGCACAAAGCAAATTACCCTTTATCCCTCTGGATTTTTCCAAGCTGGAAAATAATCAAATAAGCATTAGGCAAACTCATAAGAGCAAAGAGCCCATCAGAAGGTTGAATAGTAACACATTTACCTCCTACATACATGCGAGAGACTTAACATGGCTGTGTAAATCAGCACATGCTTCAGCTGCCATCTTAAATAGCTTAGTGAAGACAGGGGACTTAAGGAAAGGGAAGGAAAGGTCAGTTAGGAGGTCACTGGGAAAGATAAGGGAGACAAAATCATGCAGGTCAAGTCTTGCTCTCTCCATGGAAAAGTGATAAGGAGATTGGGCCTTCCAGGTCCGCACCCTTACAGAAGCTTATGTGTGAGTATCTTTTTCAAAAGTGACCCTCCCTGGGCCGTCGTGGCTCTTCTGATAAAATGAATCTCTTGTTAAAAAGACATATTTGGGGGTAGCACAGTTTTGATCACTTGCAACAGCAGTGTGGAGGCATGATGATATTAGAAGTAGGGAGACCAAGCAGGGGGACTTGTAGGAGCCTAAGAACTGTATGATGAAGGTTTAGACGAGGGTTTCTCCATTGGGAGATTTGCCGGTCCCCTATCCTGATTACGTGATCACACACACACAAACACACACACACACACACACAGAGAAACAGAATCTGGCAATGTGGGGAGACATTTTTGCTTTTACAAGCAGGGACTAGAAGCCAGTGTGTAGTGGGCAAGGTGAGGCATGCAACTGAAGCTCTTGCATGAGAATGTCCCTCCTCACATCTCATCTAGTCCCAGAAGCCAAGAGTAATGAGGTGGAGAAGACTGGTCCAAACAACGGCTGTGGCAGCAGCCATGGAAGGAAGACAGATTCTAAGGTACAATTTTGAAAAACTTTAAGGACTGAGAATGCAAGGAAAAGGAAACAATTAAGATCATCTAGGAATTTGATGATATAGGTAGCTAAATGCCCTTAACAAATAAGATTGCTTTGAATAGAATAAAATTGAACGACATATTATGTAAACATCATGTAAAATTTTCTGAGAACCCCATGTCTGGAACAATGAATTGTTCAACAAAGAAACTATGTGTGCATAATGCATCCAGGTGTTTACATATGTAAATGGACACACATACACATTGGTAATTCTGGTGTCTTTATTTTATTTTCTTTTGCTGTTTTTATTTGATTTTTTTATGATTTACATATCTTCCAACAACTTTGATATATATTTACTTTTTAAATTCTTTCCTATCTCAGGATACGGTGCAGTGTGTGGAAGTCTCCAGCACTACATACCTAAATTTCTGCTCAAAAGAAATTTGGTGCACTCAGTTAAATTGGATTATGTTGGAAATTAATAAGGACACAATGAAAAGAAGGATCTGGGACTATAGGAAAATTGGAAAGATGCCTCTGGAGTCCAGAAACTTTTAGAAGGTTGCAGAGACATGACCCAAATTTTAATCATCCACTTTCCATGATGCTATTAAAGGTCCCCAAAAGCATTTCATACAAGCTAAGTATTGTGGAACGTTATCATGAAGGGTGTCCTCAGTGAGAAGGAATTTATGACAAACAAGCTGCCAGACACATGTGGAAGGGGAGGTGGGGGTGGACTTTGCCGTTAGGTTTGAAGTTCTCGAGGCACTTATGTAGCCTTGTCAGCACTCAGGACCAACTAAGTATGCTCCTTGTTTGCAGTCCCCCAAACTCACCACATCTCACTCCTAGTCATGATATACTTGATGACTCTTCATTATTAAAAGTCAAAATTCATCACAAGACCTACCACAGCCCTGTTCACTAGAAATATTTTCCATATCATAGGTGTGGTTCTTTTTTGATGCTGTTTTTGCTTTTTTCTGATTTGATATGATCACACTGATGATGACGTTGGGGGAGTTGCTGTGGTGTATGTGCTCATTTAGACAACAGTCTTTGACTAAGATTATGTCTGGATACTTAAATGGCCACTTTATGACAAGATCCTTTCCTGAAGGATCCTTGAATTGCTGTCCTTAGTCTCACCTGTTTCTAAGGACAGTATGCAGATCAAACTCAGGTGAAAGTGCAGAAGCATCGTGGTGATTTGTGACCTGGTGAGAGAACTATTCCCCCACCAATTCGCTTACTTTTTGAAAAATCTCTAGGGTGTTAATTTAGGGTTAATTCTAATAGAGGGTCAATTTAGGGTTAATTCTGCAGCACATCCTTTTTGTGTCTGAATCTCAGTTTCCAAACTGGTCAAATACATATATAATTGCTGATCAACCCATGTAACCATGAGACATTTTTAGCAACTACACAACGAACATAGGAGACCAGTTACCTGAAAACAAACACGTGAATGTTAATGCAGCCTATTGATTCTGCTTACCTATTTTTCAGTTCCTTAGTAAAGCCCTCTCTGAACCCTGTTGTATAATAAATATTTATGGCATCTGGCTCATTGTGCACGTTATCTTTTATGCATGCCCCCAGTT